GCCCCCGCTGTCCCCCCCCCCGCCGCCACATCCCTCTCTCTATCCTGCTGTCTCATCTGCGCCTCCCCGCCCATCTGCGCTTGAAACACCTGCAACTGCTGCAGGTGCTGCAGCTGAGCCATGTAACGATACTGATGGAGCCATGCTCCTAGATCGAACGGCGCAGGAACGATCCCCGCCGCCGCCGCCGCCATCCCCCCTGTCATTGCCTCCATCCCCCCATGTCCCATGGGCCCCATGGCGAACTGTACAGCTGCTAGTCCCCCTGCTGCTGCCGCAGTCGTGGCAGCAGCTACTTCATCGAACGGTGAGAACATGGCAGTGGTAGAAGGAGGGGGAGGAGGAGGAGGAGGAGCGGATGGAGATGAAGATGGAGAAGGCCACCAACCTCCGTTACTGAGACCATTTCCCTGAGTAACGCTAGCTATGGGCGGACAAGGTCGAGCTGTTGCTGCTACTCCGCCACCTGCTCCCCCTTCTCCTCCGCTTCTCCCGCCCAATCCCCCCCCCGCCCGCCCCCCTCTTCCTGATGTTACTACTTCCCATACCCTGCCGCCTCCTCCTTCCCCCTCCTCCACCACCCCCTCCCCTACGTGTCTCTGCCCCCCACTTCCCGCTGCTCTGTGATCAAAAAAAACGGATCGCTGCTGCTCTAGCCCTTGACGACGATGTTCTTCCGGACCTGTTCCGATCCCTCCTCTCGTCGGGGACCTGATCTCGATCCCTCGTCTCGTCGGAGACCGGATCTCGATCCCTCGTCTCGTCGGAGACCGGATCTCGATCCCTCGTCTCGTCGGAGACCGGATCCCGACCCCTCCTCTCGTCGGAGACCTGACCTCGTTCTCCCTTCGACTTCCTCCAACCCCCCCCCCTACCCCTCCTCCTCCTCCTGCTGCTCCTCCACCTCTACTAATTACCCCCCCACCAACTATATTCGCGTTACTAATCACCTTAAGAGGGGCCCTGTGCTGCTGGTAGTTGTCCCCTCGCGCTCTGTCTCCCCTCCCCCCCCCAAAGCCGTCAGGATCGGCAACACCCCCCTCCCCTCCTGTGCCATCTCTCGAGCTGCGTCCACCTAGCAACCCTCCTCCACCTCCCATCCCCATTCTTTCCTTGCTGCTGTACACGACGCCCGCACCCAACTTCCCCGCCCCCCCCTCTTCCCTCTTCTTCTCATCCGGTTGAAAGCCCCCTATACTACTGCTAATCAGACCCCCCCCCCCACTGCCATAAGGATTAGAACGTCGGGACCCCAACGACATCGACGGCTCCTGCTGCTCCTGAAGCGCCAGTCTGCTACCATTCCCAACCCCCCCGTCGCTGCTCCGACTCAGACTGAGCCCGAGAGAGAACGCGGAGCACGACGACGCGCCTTGTTGCCTTCTTCTCCCCGCGCACTCCTCTCCCAATTGACTTCGACTTCGACTTTGACTTTGACTTTGACCTTGACCGAGAGCAGGTCCGAACGACGGTCCAGACTTCGCCAGCATTTGAGCGAAAGCAGAAACAGCGGCAACTTTTGTCTTCTCCGACGCTAACTTGTCGGTGCGGAGAGCGCGCGCATCCGCAGCAACAGCGGCAGCGGGAGCGGAAGCGGAAGCGGGAGGAGCAGGAGATGGAGCACTGGGGAGGGAAGGGGATCCTCCGACGCTAACGGCAGAAGAAGACAAATCCACATCCAGATCGTTTGGCGCTCTTCCATTGAGAGCAGCGCCGCCGGCGATAGACCGCCAGGCGGAGCAGGCCCAAGAAGGGAGGGAAGATTGGAGGTGCTGGCCGTTGGCAGCCGGAGTAATGAGAGGAGGAGAGGGAGGAGGAGGAGGAGGAGGAGATCTCCCGCGCTTCTGGTCGGGAAGCGCCAGTTTGCCGTTCCGGGCCAGCCCAGAGGGACCTGGTACAGCCACAGAGGAGAATGCACTACCGCAATACCGACTCGACGCTTCGTCTCCCTCTTCCTCACTGCTCACGTCGATCACGTCCATTGGATAATCATTCATCTCACCCATCTCTCTCTCTCTCTCTCTCTCTCTCTCTCTCTCTCTCTCTCTCTCTCTCTCTCTCTGTGTCTCTCTCTCTCTCTGTCTCTCTCTCTCACACACACACGAGGCGAGAATCAAAAGCTCGTCTTGCAATCTTGCAGAATCAGGGGATCTCTCTCTCTCTCTCTCTCTCTCTCTCTCTCTCTCTCTCTCTCTCTCTCTCTCTCTCTCTCTGTGTGTGTGTGTGCGTGACAAGCACACGAGGCAAGAATTGGTCGCACAGAAGAATCAACCCTTGCCTAGACTTGCAATCTTGCAGAATGGGAGGGCACCACCCTCTCGATCTCTAGTCTCCCTCCTATGTGTCCAGACCACGAGGCCCGCGAAACACAGCACAGCCGCCGGAGCAGATAAGCGGAGATCGACGTTGTCAATGGATGACACGTGGCAGCGGAGAGCTGGGATCCGTCATTGCTCTTCCACGCTGGCATGCCGCCCAGGCTCGAAACGTTGCCACGAGCCGAAATACGAGAAGGCCAGCAATGGCACTCTCCTCTCTCCCTCCCCCCCCCCCCCCCCCCCCCCCCCCCCCCCCCCCCCCCCCCCC